TGGCTGTGGTGCTCTGCGCCCTGCTCATTGACTCAAGAGGATTGGCAGTGACTCTAGTGTCCTCTTCTGTTCTCTGTAGCTCAGGCCCTGGGGGAGCATTGTTGGGGTAGGGTGTCTTAGTAAGTGTCTCTGTGGCTCTTTATTTCTAGGCGCTTTAAGGATGAACAGATTGATATCCTTGTGGCCACAGATGTGGCAGCCCGTGGACTTGACATTGAAGGAGTCAAAACGGTGAGCAGGTCCCAGCTTCCTTGTACTTGGTGGGATCTCTGCCACCTCCCACACTCTTTTCCCCCATCTGACTGATGCTCGATTCTGGCTTTCCAGGTCATCAACTTCACCATGCCTAACACAATCAAGCACTACGTGCATCGGGTGGGGCGAACTGCGCGCGCTGGCAGGGCTGGGCGCTCTGTGTCTCTGGTAGGGGAAGAGGAGCGAAAGATGCTCAAGGAGATTGTGAAGGCTGCCAAGGCGCCCGTGAAGGCCCGGATTCTTCCCCAAGGTGAGGAGGCCCAGCTGTCATCAGTACCACGTGTCTGCTGTGGGGCAGGGGCACAGGATGGCAGCTGAGAGCAGCACTGCCATCAGCACCAGCTTGAGTCCCAGCTTTGCTGTCTCCCTGCCGTGTCCCCTGGCAGGTCCCCTCATTTCTGTGGGCTTCAGGCTTCCCTGAGTGCAAGGGTTGATGATAGAAACCCAAATGAAGAGTCTGCCTGAGAGTGCTTTCCCACGAGGGGCACAGTTCCCAGTCACTTTCCCCTTTGTGCTGGTGTGGAAGAGAGCGGGGAGGAAACTGCACCCGTAATTTTTTTTGGAGCTTTCATCGTTTTTGTTCCTTTGCTCTGTAGAGGTCGGGTCAAACACAAACGTCTTTTAAATTACTTTTTCTGTGTGTGTTACTGAGGATTGAATCCAGGGGCTTTGTAATGAGCTATATCCTCAACTCATTTTTAAAATTTTTAAATTTTGAGACAGAGTCAGAGTCCTCCCTGTCTCAGCTTTTCTTGAATATGCTGTGATTTACAGGTGTACACTACCACTCCTGGCTACTTTCTTTTAATGTTACAAAAAACAATGTTTGTTACATATTAATATATGGAAAATAATAAAAGTATAATTCTGTATCAAAGAGCTCACCTGTTTTAGCACTTGGGTTTGTACTCTTTCAGACACTTTGAGACAGGGTCTCACTGTGTAGTTCAGGCTGGTCTTGAACTTGCTATGTAGCCCAGATAGCCTCGGGCAACCCTCCTGCCTCAGCCTCCAGAGTGCTAGGATCACAAGCGTGTGCCACCACGTCTGGCTCGCAGGTGTGTTTTTGTCTCATTTTTATTGCATTCTTCCCATCAGTGAGTAGTTGCAGGCCCTGTTTCAGTCTTGTCCAGGAGATGGGGCTAGAGCAGGGAGCAGGGCAGCTAATGTTCTGTGAGGGAGAGATGGTAAGTACGCTCATGGTCCATGCGACTGAGAGGAGGAGGAGGAGGAGGAGGAGGAGGAGGAGGAGGAGGACGGGGAGGGGGAGGGCCTGCTTAGAGAAACTGTTCAGCAGAGGCCTCAGCAGCTGGCGTGAAACTGGGTACCGGGTGGTAAGAATGAGGCTGCCCTGAGCAGCAGAGTGCGCTCTCTGAGAGAGCTCGGGCGGAGGCTCTGCGGTGAGAAGGAGCTTGTGTGTGAATAAAAGAAGGTGTGTTCGGGCCCAGGGCAAGGGGGGCTAGGGAACAGAAACCTAGAGGTAGACAGGGGTACTCTCAGGGGCTCAGGATTGAAATGAGAGCAGCGGGAAGCCTTCTGGGGCAGTGGGGGAGAGGAGGGGATTTGTTGTTATTGTTTTGGCAGGGGGAGGGAGTGATGTTGCCCAGGCTGACCCAGGACTCCTGGGCTCAAGCTACCTTCCTGCCTCAGCCTCCCTAGAAGCTGAAATTATAGGCCTCATTCCAGCGCTTAGTGGGAGACGTTAGGCTGAGAAGTCACACGTTAAGAACCATGTTTATCTATGTCAGTAAATATTTACATTATTTTCATTAGCCATATCTTTTTGCCCTCAGTAATGTCCTTTTTATTCTCTTAGATGTTATCCTCAAATTCCGGGACAAGATTGAGAAGATGGAGAAGGACGTGTATGCGGTGCTGCAGCTGGAGGCAGAGGAAAGAGAGATGCAGCACTCGGAAGCCCAGGTGAGGCTGTGAAGGGGGCTTGTCGTGCTGCCCAGGGACCCGCCACAGGGGCTCCCTGTGGTCCCCTCTGTGGAAGGCTGACCAGCCGTCAGAGCCCTCGGCATTTGCAGCCAGTGGCTATCTGACGAGCAGGTGCGGCCTTCACTGTCCCCTCAGATCAATGCAGCCCAGCGGCTCTTGGAGAAGGGGAAGGAGGCCCCAGACAAAGAACCTGAAAGGAGCTGGTTCCAGACCAAAGAGGAGCGGAAGAAGGAAAAAAGTAAGTCGGGGCTGGGGATTTAGCTCAGCCGCATAAGCACCTGCCTTGTAAGCAGGCGGTCGTGAGTTCTATCCCCGCTACCCATAAAAGTGAAAAAGACAAAAAAAAAAGTCACGGAGAGATTCCTCAGAACGATGAACCTAGAGTTACCGCAGCACCCAGCCATCGGGTGGCTCTGACAGGAGCTTTCCAGTAGTCACCTGTGTGCCAGTGTCCTTTGGAGCACTAGTCAGAGGGGCCAAAAGGTGGAAACAGGTATCCGTCCATCAAAAGTTGAGGGGTAAACAAAGTGACGTGTGTGTGTTTCATGCATGCTCACTTGAACGTTGTTCATCTATAATGAAGTTCTGAAAAATGCCACAGGTGAGCCTTGAAACACGTACCCTTTTTCAGTTAGGCAAGTGTATTGGGCGGGCAGGATAAATTCCTAACATCGGATTGTAGGTCAGAGAGTATGAGTGTTACTAGTTTTGTAGAGATTGCAAAATCACTTTTTTGTGTATGTCAGGCGAGCAATTTCAGGATATACTGCCTTTATTTGATGGGATGATGCCTTTATTTGATGTGTTAAATTTTCATGTCAAAACTACAGGTATAACTAACTACGTTGGTAGGAAGGCGTAGGCTACCGTAAGTCAGATCTTCATTTTCCATGGCAGGGTATCAGTAGATAATGCCTTAAATGGGTTAATGGAGCCCAGTCCGACTTAGTGAGTGGAAGGTGCTCACTAGCTAGAGGGATTGCTACTTTTTAAGTTGTTATGTACCAGTTTAAAATAGTTGTCCTTCTGGTTGTAAATTTAAGAAAAGATTTAAAGTGTTCCCTGAACGCTCATGCTGTCTTCTCATCCCAGTTGCTAAGGCTCTGCAGGAGTTTGACTTAGCCTTAAGAGGAAAAAAGAAAAGGAAGAAGTTTTTGAAGGATGCCAAGAAAAAGGGAGAGATGACGGTGAGTGGCCGGACGCCTCTTGGAGTTGGAGCACACTGCATGGGTAGGGCAGAGCCGATTGTCACCCTCACTTTTTCCCCAGGCAGAGGAAAGGTCCCAGTTTGAAATCCTCAAGGCACAGATGTTTGCTGAGAGGCTGGCCAAGAGGAATCGCAGAGCAAAGCGGGCCAGGGCAATGCCTGAGGAGGAACCAGCCAAAGGTCCTGGTAGGTGGCTGGGGAGCCCTACCTGAAGCCAGCCTTATAGTCGGAGAGAAAGTTCAAGCGATAGTGAAATAAGCCACGTTTTTTGGGTAATTGGCATACACAAGTGTGTACAGCTTCAAGGAGTGGGGTGACCCCGCCATTGTTGGGAAGAGCTTGCAGTGAACTCTGACCTTTCTGACCCTGGAGCCCAACTATTTCTTGGCTATGACTTAGAGGAGCCTGTGAGGGTAAAGGAAGGGAATAGTTTCTGGGTGTCAGTGTCCACTGAACTTGGACTCATTCCCTAGGGCTTTACCTGGTTTAGGAGCTTGTGTCAAAGAGGATCACAGCATTCTCTGTTCACAGCCAAGAAGCAAAACCAGAGGAAGAAATCTGTGTTTGATGAAGAACTCACCAACACGAGCAAGAAGGCCCTGAAACAGTATCGAGCTGGGTAGGGCTTTCGGAACACCACAGTGAGCCCCCTGTCCACCATATGGCAACCCTTAAACAATTCCTTCAGAGCAAGCTAGTGGTACTTTTCCAAGGCGGGGGGGGGGGGGGGGGGCAGAGATCAGGAATCGAACTCAGGACCTCATGCTTGCCAGGCAGGCACTGTGCCACTGAGCTGTGTACCCAGCAAGCTGGGTAGGGTTTTCAGTGGTCATGGAGCCTGTGGTGTTTCTATGGAAACTGTAAATCTTTTACTTCTATTTCTACTTCTCAAGTACTGAAGCTTTATCATACATAAACTCAAGGATGCCTGTCTGTTCTTCATACTTGCTGAAGGTCATCTGTGGGTCCCAGAGTAGAAACAGAACGGGGAGGGGTTAAGGTACCCCTGCTCTGCCGTTTGCCAGCCCTCCAGCCCTGGAGGTGAGATGGCAGAAGCAGAGCTTTCTCGAAGGAGAGGAGTAACAACTGTTACCTCGGGATCAGATCTAAACATTCCCAAAGAATCCCGGCTTGCCCTGGGAATATGCCTCCCTGCTACATCCTTCTGTCATGAGGCTAACATGGGGACACACACAGTGCCTCCCACATGATCTTACATGCATGCACAGGTAAACGAATGGCTTCCTCCAACTTTGTTTCAAAGGTGGGGCCTGATTTCCAGAAATGCACATTGTCAGGCAGAAACACGTGACTTGGGACCCATACCCTGATCGCCAAGTGTGCGGCGGTGCTGCTCTTCCCTTGGGGCTGGGGCTGGGGCTGGGGCATGGGTGACATAGCCTTCGTGTTCAGTGTGTGGCCTGTTTGCTCTTCTCTTACGCAGCCCTTCATTTGAAGAAAGGAAACAGTTGGGTTTGGCCCACCAGAGAAAAGGAGGAAACTTCAAATCCAAGTCCAGGTGCTGTTGTTAGGGAAGGCAGGAGGTTATGGCTGTGGGGTTGAAGAAAATTTTCCTTCCTCTTTCTTGTCTTACTCCTGATTTTTTTTTTTTTTTTTTTTTTTGGTAACAGATACAAGAGGAGGAAGTAGCTGTAATGGCCTGAAGAAATTCGTGAAAAGTCTTAAATCCCTTCCCTGTGGGAAGTCATCCTGTTTTGGCTTATATAATAAACATTTGTTTTAAAAAAATTGTTTATAAAGCCTGTGATTTGTGCATTTAAAAAGTAAGAATTTGGGGCAGTGGTGTACAGCTGCTTCCTAAGCGTCATTAGCCAAGACTCCTGCCTCGGTTGGCTTTCAGAGACAGACACACCAAGCCGGAGAAAGCTAGTTGGGTGGCGGGGAGTAAGTCGAAGTTTCTTGCTTTAGTGGTAGAGTCCACCCCACTCTGTCATGGACACTTGGAATGCAGTTTGTGCTTGGACAGGGATTGGGTGTAGGGTGAGATTTCTGCTAGGGAAACGCTCTTCTGTTGATAGTGCAGAACTAAAAGTATCGCGTAACAGCACTAGCCTCATGCCGTGCTGTCCGATTCCATTCACTGTGTGACTTTAGACAGGAAGTTACTCTTGTTGCCAGTGAACAAACCGGAGCTTGGAAAGACTGGTTCCCCAGGATTGCACAGTGGTGATTCAGGTTTTTGAAATCAGTGTACCCGAACTTGTACTCTAACCCTTACCACTTGCTGTGAGTGCTGCGCTGCTGAGATGGAAGCTGAAAGGGGGCAGAAAGAACTCTGACCCCGTAAATGAGCTCCTCGTAGAAACCAGCTTTTACACTGTGGGATGATGATTGTCCTTTTTTGAATCATAGGCCTGTAAGAACTACAAGAAAGCTGTGGGGCATCCTTTAGGATAACTGGTTCATGTTCCGTGTAATTTTAGGGCATGTGTTGGCCCCCCATCTGCACACTGTAACCCCAGCACCTGGGGCTGAGGCAGGATAGCAAGTTTGAGGCCATCCTGGACTACATAAGATGCTGTCTCAAAAAACCAAAAAAAGCCCTGTAGCAGTTACCAACATGGTCCAATTCAGAACGTGATGACACACTTATGAAGGGATATGGTTCAGACTCATCTGTATGTGCTTCACAGATCATGCTAAAAAAGCCACATGCAGGCGAGCACACTGCTACATGCCTCTAATCTTAGCATTCAGGAGGTTGAGGCAGGAGACTGCTGAATTTGAAGTCATCTTGAACTACATAGCAAGATCCTGTCCAACTGAAAAAAATAAGTGCAGAACCCTTTTTAAAAAAGGGAAAAACTGCTTATGCATCGATCTCTGGAGGGTTCATGAAGGGTACACAGGGGTACCGCTGGAGAAGAAAATATGTTTACCACGAGTAGAAAGGTCTCATCCCCTAATACAAGAACCCAAAACCAGAAAAGCATTGCAGGTATCACCCACCCTGTCCCTTGTCTCAGGCCACTTCTAAAGGAGACATAGACCACTCATTTTTTTCAATCTGCTTTTATTAACTGGCTTTATAGGCTAAAGTGCATAGTAAAGACAAAAAAAGAAATGCTTACGTACAAAGGACCAGCATTAGAAAGGACCTGAGATGCCTAAGTGTCTGTTCTAAGGGACACTGGATAGAAGGAATGCGGATGCAAGGTGTAGGCCTAGGGCTGGCTTCTGGCCTGGGGCTGAGGCCTGCAGAAGCTGTGGGCATGCTAACCCTGCCTAGGCAAACAAAAGCTGTGAGAGGATGCTGGGATAAAAGCTCACACCTGGGAGAGATGCTGTTGGCACTGAATGGGCATTTAACTCCATTTAAGGCCAAGGGAACCAGCCCTGCTACCCAACCTCTCCCAGGGCAAGGAAAGAAAAACCCTGTCGGAGTGCAAGTCACAGAAAGGCTATGCGGTCACTCCTTACCTGGGCCTGCTGCATAAGCCCTTAATTGGGGGAGGAGGATACTTTCCAATTCTCAGTGACTGAAGCTGGGCCAGGGTGAGTGGCAAAGTCTTGTCTATCACATGCCTCCATCTCCTGGAGGCTGGTGCCTGAGGGGCAGGGCAGTAGGAATTGTGCTCCTTGAAGGGGTAAGCAATTCATGAACTCTGGGCCTCAGTTTATTAGAAAGTTAGCCTGCAAGTTAGGGCCTAGAAGTTAAGAGCCTCACTGATTCATAATTTCAGCGTTGGAAACACTGCAGAAGAAACATCTGACCATGTCAGGACCTGGAGTTACTACTGTGTAGCTCTGGGTAGATACCCTAGATACACTCAAGGGAATCTGTCCCCTAACTTGCAGAAAAGGAAAAGAAATGAGATCTGTTAATTCTGGTTTCAGTTCTGGAAGTAAAGTGCTTATTCTAGCGCAGGAGTAAATCTAAAATCAAATGTGGGTAAGCCCTAAAAGTGGGTTCTTAAATAGATGGTAAGACTACAGGACAGTAATAAAAAAGGTTCCTTCACAAGGAAGCCAATCCCTGCTGGTGGCCAGGGCAAAAGGCAGCAGTGTGCCATCTACATCATCCTTCGGATCTCCTCAAAGTTCATCATGTTGTTGGCTGTGTCAGACCAGGCAGCATGCTGGGCTCCGTCCATCTCAGAAGCCAGTTGGTTGCTCCTTTCCAGAGTATGATTCTCACCACCAATTATCTCCTGACACTCAGGACAGGTGCCTCTCTGCATGGCTCCCCCACATTCACTAATCAAGTAGATGTGACCATTGGGGCACTTGAACCAGTGGCCACGAGGAAAACCCATGGCCTTGACGATCTGTACTCGCTCTTCCTCTGAGATGCCCAGGCCAGAGCAGGGAAGGGTGGCTTTCAGAGCATCCATCTTTTTCTGCACAAGCTGTTCATCCTCCTGGGTGAACTTACATGTTCTCTCAAGAATGTTCCGAATACTGGAGACCTCCTCTGCTACGCTACCTTTCAGCCTCCCCTCTGCCATCTTGCAGCGGGTCAGGAGGTTTACCAGGTACGTAAGCCTCTGGATTTCACTTTGGAGGTCACTTAGTTCCTGGCTGGTAAAGCTCAAGCGTTTCTTAGCCAGCCAGTCATGGACCTGGTCTAGTCGAGTCCTCACTCTATTTTGTTCTAAGACATGTACTTTTTTCAAGGAATTATGCAGACTGGCCATGTGGTCATAGAAGCTGATGTAATTTTCAACAAGGCTGAGCTCCTTCACTGACAGATGTTGCTGGGCCAGTTTTTCCTTCAGCATTCTAGAGTCTTCAGGAAGCAGCTGGTGGAGGAGGCTCTTAGTCTCCAGTAGGGCCGTAAGGCGTTCCTGGTTGATGGCAATTTCCCCTGTTGAGCCCTGGATCTTTAACTTGACAATTTCAATCTCTTCTAGCCGCTGTTTAATGCTGGTTCCGTATCTCAGATTTTTGCGGATAGGTACCTGGCAGATAGGGCAGACCTTCAACCTGATGGCAATTTCATCATCTTTCTGTTCATTCATGTAGCGGTCTAGGGCTTGTACCTCAAAGAAGTGGCTGCAGTCTTCTAGCTGTACAAAACGGGCATCATGCTCATCCTCAAAGCCAAAGAAGATTTGGGTGACCTCATCCTGGTGGCAAACACGGCACTTTTTGGGGCATGGCTCTCCACACAAACCAATGCAGGGGTGGCCACAAGCCAGCAGCTTAGTACAAGGCACATAGCATGGGGGTCGGTCACAGGGTTCAGAGCAGAGCTTAGTGCACTGGTAGTGCTGGCAACGCCAGACACAGGGTTCCACGCAAGGGCTGCATAGCTCCCCACACTTCTTCTTGCACTGGCTGTGGACACAACGGTTCTGACATGTCCGCTGGCAGGGTGGGCATTCACCAATACAAGGCTCCTGGCACTTGTGTGAGCAGATGAGCAGGCGTTTGCAGGGCTGCTGACAGCGTACGTGGAAGCGCCCTTCAAAGCAGCTGTGGCAAGAGCCGGGGCATGGATGCCCACAGTCCAAGACGGTACCACATTTGGTTGTACATTCGACTGGCATGTCATACTTGAGGTCTTCTACATTGCCACATTTTACCTGTTGGTTGTGCCCACATTTGAGTTTTACAGAGACCATTTCTGGACATAACTGCACACAGCCCTCACCACAGGGGTGGCTGCATCTGTGGCCACATTTCAGGACCTTGGGACAAGGCTCCTGACAGCAGAAATCTGACTCAGGCATTGAACAAGGAACCATCTGCTTGTGGCCACACTGAGGAATGGTTTTGGGTACCTTCACTTGACACGGCTCACACTCCTGGAAGCAAACAAGGGGACACCGGTGTCCATCTGGGCAGATGACCTTCTGACATGGCTTCATGCACTGGAACTCTATATGTGAGGAGTCATAGGGGTGGCAGGCACGAGTGCAGACATGCCCACAGCCCAGGCGGAACTCACAGGGCAGACTACAGCCTCCTTCGGGCACCCTTTGGAAGTCTGAAGCTTTGGATACTAATGTATAGGTTTCAGGGTGGTTCTGGCAGCAAAGCTGGAGGGTCTGGCCTATTTGATTGTTCTCTCGAAGGGTATGGATGATCCTGCTCCACAAGGGTACCTTGGCCAACATCTGCATGTTTCCAATGCAATACATGCCCTTCTTGGCTCGGGACAAGGCCACACAGATACGGTTGGATATCTGAAGAAAACCCACCTTGCCTTCCTGGTTGCTCCGCACAAGTGAAAGGAGGATGATGTCATTCTCCTCCCCTTGGTATTTGTCCACAACATGGACCTTGACACCAGCAAACGTCTTGGCTGGCATGAGTTTCCGAAGGCAGAAGAGCTGTCCAGTGTAGGTAGTGAGGATGGTGATCTGGGAGGGCAGATACTCCTGGCACAGGAAGTACTTGCATAGCTCCACCACAAAATGAGCCTCATGCTGGTTCTGATGGCTTTTGCCTTCTTGGATCTCCTGTTCAGGAAAGTTATGTTCTACAAAGAAAAGGTTGGAAGAGACTCCCTGAGAAGGAAAAGGGATATATTAGAAGGCTTACTCATGACACTTGGTTTTGCTCCCTATCTTCACATGCTCTGGTCATTGACCTTGCTCCGAAAGACAATTTTGCACATAATCTTTAATTATGACGTTACTTTATACTTAGTTTTGAGGCCATAGCAAATCATGAGCTGGACATAGACGTTGTGTCTACTTTACTTTTCAAGATACTCATTTGGTATTAATGTTTAAAACAGCTATCCCCAATCCAACTGCAAACCAACAGAACAAGCAGCAGCTCTGATGAGTACAGGGTACTCCATTGCAGTGACTGCTTTACAGATTATCACCTGTACAGCAGAAAGCAGAGGCAGGAGCCATCAATCCCACTGTACAGAGGACCTGCTGCTCAGAACAGCAATTTGCTTAAGGTCACACAACTAAGTGGCAGAGCTGGTATTCAAAAACTCAGGTCTGTATTCTCAGTTACCATACTATTCTTTCTCCCCAAACCAAGCTTTTGTTTTGTTTTGCTTTGTTTTAAAAGCTGGTTTGTCATGCTTTTTTCTTTTTTGGCATGAAAGCTTTTTTCCTGCTGAGGAAAGTAACCTCCTTGGTTGCTGATACCATCAAAAATCGGGTATCTTAATATTCTTACCTTAACATTCTCATACTTGAGAACTGAAGGATGATTCTCTAAATCCTGATAAATGTGAGGAGTCAAAAGGCGAGCAATTTCAGGGCGCATCCGATGCTGAAAAAGACATGTATGTCATTAGAAACCTAAACAGAAGAAAAAGGAAAAATTTCTATAAAGTCTAGATTGCTAAGACAAGTAACATCTACACTGGTGGGAAGAAGATAACATAAACAGCTCCTTTATCAACAAAACTCAATACAGTGTGATCTTGTGTTTTAAAACAGAAAACAAAACAAGTTTGATATCTTTTCATTACTAAATTTAATCTATTTTTATGAGACCTTTCTTGTTGGTAGCTGGCAGGCTCCCCAGTCTTTTCTACAGTATAAGAGAGGCTCAGCTTCTCACCTGGTAATTCAGACGCACAAAGGGAATGTTTACTTTCACTAGTCGTTCAAAAAGGGACACCTCAAGATTGAAGTTCTTGGCCAGATCATACACATTAGCACTGGGGCGCAGCTGAAAAGAAAACCATGGTTAAGAATTCTCTGTTGTTTTCAACCCACCCACCTACCCAGGTATCCAGCCACCCCACCAGTCAGCCAGTTGCATCAAGTACTTCCACGGACCTGGCATACACTAGGTGTTGACAGGTTATGCATATGTCACAGTGAGTGACAAGAGCTGTGAAGACAAGAACTCAGGGATGGGATGATGTTTTGTAGGCCTCTCTGACACCAGCATAGAGCACCAGCATTTATTAATTTGGAAAGCAAGCCACCAGAGCAGAAGGACACGTGGTAGGAACATATCTTCATGAAAAGATGAGATGAAAACAGAAACAGGCTGAAACCTGAACTTACTGGCCTTAAAAAAAGTTTAAAAAATTATTTTAATGATTCTTCTAGGTTTTGTAAGACATTTAAGAAGGTTTTTTTTTTTTTTTTTTTTTTTTAAGCTTGGTTTTTACTATTAAGTACAATGGGAAACCACTGGAGGTTTTTAAGCTGGTCTGAGTCATATAATTTTAGAGCGTAGCAAAAATGAAAGCATTGGGACTGCTGTCATAGTTAATTTAAGAGATGGATGGAGGGGCAGGGACAAGACAACATTTTTAAAAAGGAATTAAGATGTATTGTGTACATGTAACCAGCTTCCCACAAGAAATACAAACATGTACTGATTGTTTTTTTAATGTGAGGGGAAAAAAAAGATAAGACTTTTATCTTATGGCTCACACCTGAATTCTATCTAGTCAAAGGCGGAGACAGAAGCACTGTGAGTTTGAGTCCAGCCTGTGCAACACAGGAAGATCCCATCTTAATGTAAAAAGGGCTGGGAGTGTAGCTTGGTGTCCCCTCGGTACAGCACTCAGTACCACAGAACCAAAAAGGAGCAAACAACCCCTACGAAGACCACAGTGGACTAAAAGAGGAGCAGAGAAAATGGATGAAGTGAGTGATGCTATCTCAAAGCTACACTGAACTGAGTGTGGGGTTTGAGGATCTAGCTTAGTGACTGAGTAGCTGCTTAGCAGGTGTAAGGCCCTGGGTTCCATTCTTAGCACCAGAAAAAGATAATGCTGATTGTGCGAGATGAGGAATCACAAAAGCATGTGTCCAAAAAGCCAGGGTCTTCCTGTTTTGATCCCTAACCCTCCCACCTCCATGACAGAAAGGGTTTTTGCTTTACCTGTTGATGGTCCCCAATCAGAATGAGATGCTGGCAAGCTTTGCTCAATGTAGCAATGGTATGAGCCTCAAGAACTTCGGCAGCCTCTTCCACGATGACAATCCGAGGCTCTACCTTTTGTAGGATCTGGCGATATTTAGCAGCACCTCAAGTCAGGAAAGAGAAAGGCTGCTCTGAACCAAAGTATAGGATCCACAGGGCCACTGTGCCTCTAGGAATCTTCTTTTTCACCTTCCTTGAACCTGAGTTGGTCCAACTAAGCCCTCATGCTTATCCAGTGCTGTGGTGACCACTGATTGAGAGAATAAAGGCTAGGCAGTCTCCCCACGTTGGTGGGGTTTCAAAGTCAGTGGAATCAAATGGGAAAATTGTACTAAGAGTTCCCAAATTATGGGCTTCTTTTAATAGCTCTTTATAGCATTTCTTCTCTAGCCTGTTGAAGAAGCTCTCCTTACCAGTCCTAGATAATCTGACAGGATTTCGGGGACAAGAGTAAATTTGGCCTTAATAGATAAAGTCCCCCGTACTTTCTTACCGGTAGTAGTCATTCCCACAACCTGGGCATCTTTAAGGATGTGCAGGTCTTCCTGCAGCCTCAGCTCTGCCATTCTCTCTGCTGATGTGCGGTACTGGCATTCATAGCTCAGGATCCTCCGGCGAGTGTCAGCCTGGTACCTCTGCAGCCACAGCCTGGAGAATGGCAGAACCATGAAGGAAGACGTGCTCTTTGAGAAGATGGAGGAGTGTGCTAGTATGTGAGGTGAACCCTAAACCCTAGAGGAGTTTACAGGTGACAGAGAGACAGGCAGGCAGACAGACAGACAACTCCAAATGTACAGAACCCAAGAGTCCAAGATTGCCAACAAAAAGATGTGCAAGGAGATTAGGAGCTAAGCAAAGGAACCAGATAAAGAAAAAAGAGAATACGACACATCAAAGGTTTCAGGAAGAATTTCTCATGAATTTTCTCTACCCCATTCCTCTTGCTCCTTTCCTAATTCTTCACAGGGTACTTGTTTTACAGGTAAAACAGATCACTATTTTTTGTTTTTTTGTTTTTTTTTTTTTTTGGTACTGGGGATCAAACTCACAACCTTGTGCTTGCCAGGCAGGTGCTTATGCCACTGAGCTAAGTCCCTGGCCCCGACATCACTACTTTGTTATAAAACCTCCAACTGGCTTTTCTGCTACCTTCAGATACAATTCCCACTCCTTGGTGAGCTGTGTGAGGACTTGCCCACCCAGCCCTTGCTTTGTCACACAGCTGTATTGGTCATGTGCTTTCCATTTTTCAAACAGCTGTGTTCCCGCCTGTCTCAGGGAGTTCACCTATGTGGTCCCCTTAATCTCACATTCTCCCCCTTGGCCAATGACCTTGATCACACCCATTCATCCTTCAGAGTTCACCTCCAAGGTCATTTCCTTGGATACTTCAGACCAGCCCAACTCCACGGAACAGTTTTCTACTTTTGGTATTCTCAGTCCCCTCTGTTCTGTTCTTAGTATTCATGTCAGTTACATTTTTTTTTTTTTTGAGACGGTCTCATTCTGTAGTCCAGGGTGTTCTTGAATTTGAGATCCTACTGCTTCAGCCTTCCTCTTCTTAGCGCTAGTATTACAGGTATGTGCCATCATGCCTGGCCACTTATATTTTCTTTTCGTAGTTATATGAAAAACTGTCTTTCTAGGTAGATTGTAAATGCCATGAAGTGGCACACACCTGCAACCCCAACACTTGGGAGGCTGATGCAGGAGAACTGTTTGCAAGTTTGAGACTAGCCTGTGCTATAAAATGAACTCAAGGCCAGCCTGAACTGCACAGTAAGACCCTGTCTCAAAAAGGCATAAATAAATAAATAAATAAATAAATAAATAAATAAATCAAATACCATGAAGACAGAGCAGTTTCTGTTCTATCTCACGGCTGCAACCCCATCATTCTTCAGCTAACTGGTACACTCATTAATCCTTAATTACAGAGCTAGGAGAGTTCTGAGATAAGGAGTCTCCTGAGGAGATGACAAGCTGGTCAGAGGTGAGCACTGTACCTGTAAAGCTGCCATCGAGAATTCATGTCTAGCTGCCAGACATCCTGGATCTCCCTGGCCTCTGCTTCAGTCATAGTGTTCAGTTTGCGAAGTTCAACCTTCACTCTCTTCTTCATTTTCTTTTTTTGGCTATGCTGGATCTGTAGACATCAATACCAGACAGGCACCATTTGAGCAGGGATTCTAAACCCAAGGTCGACGCCTCTCATATATAAGAAGTGGGCTGATACCTCTGATGAACTTCAAGTGTCTCACACTCTCAACGGCCATCCTACTGTGGCATGTCTTTGGAGCTGAGGGACCTGGGCTCAAGCCCACTCTATCTCTACTTAAGCTGTGGGCTCTATGACAAGTTACTTAACTTTATATCACAGCTACTCCTGTTATAAACTGGTAGAAATCACAGTACCTCTTCAGGGGTTGGTAACTTGAAAAAAGTAAATACATGCGAAACATTGTAAAAGTACTGGCCCTACTGACCACTGAACTTTTCTGACCATAGCTTGTTTCTTTTCCTGAAAAAGTAGGAGTCATGAAAGCAGTGGGAGTAGGGCTCTGTTCTTGAATGCCACACTATTAATGCCTTACAGCTGGTGCTGAGCAAGGGTTGGCTCAGGGGCTGTTAAAATGGTTTTCATGCCATCAGAGAACCTTTAACAAGTGGATGAAAGGCACTGTTTTGACAGGCTCCCTGTTTGTTTCTGTCACTGAATAAAGCTATGGGTCTTTACAACTGACATGTGAAATACATGTCACCACATGTCATAAGGCAGAGATGCTCAGTCTATACTTCCAAAACCTGTAATCATGGCCTGGGAAGTGCGGAGTAGTGAATTTCATTCCTGGTACCAAAAAGAAAAAAAAATTGGGAACATGATTTCACCCACCATATATTGTGATGCTTAGGTGAACTAGAAGATAGGATGGAAAGTCAACAATCAGGTGAAAACTGCATCTAAAAGTTCCCTTAAAAGATCTTTAAGTCATCACAAGAATTACAAATGGGTCATAATAGTAACGCAGAGTCAATTTCAAGGATCACTGGATTTGACCAAAGGAGGGAAACTCTATACAGCGAGGACTGGTCATTCACAACATTCTGGCTCTGAGAGAATTATCACACTTCAGGGATGTGAAGGATGAGGACTTCACTCACCGGAGGGGGGTGGTGGTGGTGGTGGTGGTGGTGGGGCTTGCTTCATCGTTTAGTGTTCTAAAAATGTAATGAGTGTTCACAGACCTTAAGCTGAGAAGTAACCTAAAGGCCTGAAGCACTGAGACTGGGTGTGATCTGATGCACACCTGCTTCTCTCTTCTAAGTCTGAGAGAAGCATTTGGCTACTTCCTTCTTGTCTAAGTTTGTCCTTGTCAAGGTACCTTTGAGAAGTGATAATTTTTTATCATTAGAATCTGGATCAATATTATAAATACAATGGCTACATTGCAAAATGGGCACATCAGCTAACTGTGAGAATGAAGTGATTACAGTAAGAGTAACAAAGACAGGTAACACTCAACATTGCAGCAGAGTTTAACATATATCCACCTGCTAGTAAAAACTAAACTCCTGTTTCCCACTATGTTGGGGTTTTCAGAAAGGGAAGTGACTTTACCTCCCACTCTCCTGTAGCTTGTTCTTGTCCCGCTGTGGTCCCAGGGCCATAGTGATCAAGTCTCATGGCCAAAAGCATTTTAGCCAATTCCTGGTCTGCTCCATTCTCTTCCTTCTTCCGGCGCCGGGGCCTCACCACCTCCTCCTCCTCAATCACCCTGTCTGCTTGAATCAAGTCAGCCTCCTCTGCAATCTCTATCAGTGAACCTTCCTCCTCTCCTTCTTCCTCTTCTTCCCCTTCTGCCTGGGCTAAGACAGAGAAGCAGGTATGATAGGGATGCAGACTCTAAGCCAAGGAATGGATGCAAGAAGACATCTTTAAGAACTCAAAAGCATGAAGACATTCTCAAGGGGTTTAAGCATAACCTCTAGGGAAACTGGGAGGAATGACAGGGCAGTGAGACTTAGATTTCTTTACATGTATTTTTGGTTACATTTTAAAGGCTGGTCTCGATCTTGCAATGACCCTCCAGCCTTAGCCTCCCGAGTGTTGGAATTATGGGGTGCACCACCAAGCCCAGCCCCTTTTTATTATTTTGAAATTGGGACTTAATAGTTGCCCAGGCAGGACTCAAACTTATAATCCTCCTGCTTTAGCCTCGAGGAGCTGAGATTACAGGTGTCTAACATGCCTGGCAAATATATGTATGCTTTTTTGGTTGTCTAAGACAGTCTTACTACGTAAGCCCAAATAATGGGCTATAAACATGCTTCATTTTTTTTTTTTTTTTTGATATCAGCAATCAAATTCACAACCTCGTGCTTGCCAGGCAGGCACTTATATTGCTGAGCTAAATCCCCGGCCCCAATATACCTTTTTAAGAAATGTTTCACTTGTATCAAATACATGAAAGAAGGTAAATACAAATACAGCATAAGTCTGCAATTTAAAGGGTAATAAAAATAAGTAAAAATGAAGGTAATTTCCATTCATTTTAAGCAAGAAACTATCACATTTTTTGAAGATTCCTTTGGGCCCTTCGAATCTAAATTTTACAGGACGGTATCAGGGATTGAAATCACAACCCCACATGTGCCAGACAGGCACTTATGCCACTGAGCTAAATCTCTGCACCCCAAATCTAAATTTTTACCCATTCTCTTCTTTAAGGAAAAAAAAAAAAAAAAGACCATGCTGGGCATGGTGGCATATGCCTGTAATCCCAACACTTGGGAGGCTGAGTCAAGAGGATCACTGTGACCATGAGGCCAGGCTGGGGTACAGAGTGAGTCTAGGTCAGCCTGAACTACACAGTGAGACCCTGTATCAAAAAAAAAAAAAAAAAGATTAGAAAGGAACCACGCCTTCCTGTGAGCCAGGTTCCACCTTGGGGAGTGGCAAGAGCCTCAGCAAGAAGACAAACCATGCCTTCCCGAGAGCCAGCTGGTGCACAGGCTGAGAAACATGAAAAACATATCTGTCTGCCCCACTAGGAGGCAACTGGCTGACTAGGACTCAGGGTGAGATGACAGCAACTGAGGTGAAAGGAACAGCCTGATGCTTGTGTTATTTGATTGACTACAGGCCGGGAGCCGGTGGTCTCGGTGTCTGTTTGGAGGGTGGCAGATTTTCTCCTGTCTTGGTTTTGAAACCCAAAGTTTGTTTGTTTTTTTTTTTTTTGGTACTGGGGATTAAACTCACGACCTCGCTCTTGCCAGGCAGGCACGTATGCGGCTAAGCTAAATCCCCGGCCCCAAAGTTTTTTTTTATTTTTCATTTTTATTGGTACCGGGGATCGAACTCACGACTGCCTGCTTGCAAGGCAGGCGCTTATGCCGCTAAGCTAAATCTCCAGCCCCTAAACTTTTTTTTTAAATTCACATTTTATTTACACATATAGTAAAACAAATTCATAGTGGTGTTCTTAGTTGTTGATAAAGTATTGAATTATCTTACATTTTTAAATGAGTTATAGTAGAAGTTTTTCCTTAATACATGGAATCACATGCGTATTTTTTATAGTTGAGGTAATGCTGGTTAAGCCGTGGTGTAACACATGCATCAGAATTTCTTAATGTTTTGTCAGAGGTAATGTATGATGTAGGACACAAATGCAAAACTCATTTTACATTTGAAATCCAAAGTTTTGTTCCATTTTACTGTTTTATTTTATTCTTGTATCTGCTAACCCAAGCAACTACTTTAAAGATAACAATATGCAGTATAACAACCATTTTTAAATTCCTATCATCTGGTTTTGAAAATAGCTATTGTTTTTTAAAACAAGACCAACTGGACATGGTGGTGTGCACCTGTAATCCCAGCACTTCAGAGGCTGAGGCAGGAGGATCACTATGGGTTCAAGGCCAGTCTATGCTACCTAGAGAACTCAAGGCCATTCTGAACTACACAGAGAGACTTTGTCTCAAACAAAACAGAATGAAAAAAGAAAACCTACAAGTTTATCACACATCTGTTTTATCATTTTCTAAATGCCACACTCTCTGTTTTATGACTTCTCTGTGACTTGCCTTTTCCATTCATCACATTTTTGAGACTCGTCTATGCTGTATGCACTACAGTTTCTTTCTTTTCACTGTTGCACAGTATTTCATTACCTGAGTAACCTGTGATGGCTTTATCCATTGTACAAATGTTGGACATTTGATTTGTTTTCTTGCTGTCACAAAGTGGTGGTGTCGTTTTTGTTCCTAATAGCAGTGTGCAAGAGTTCCAGTGTATCACATTCACATTGAGGAGCCACATGAAACTTAAATTTTTACCAAGTTGGGGGTGTGTAATAGTGATCTCACTGTGGTTTTAAGTCCTTTATCTTCTAGTACTTTTCATGTATACTGACCTACAGAATTTCCTACTTTATAATGTATCTGCTTAAAGTCTTTTATTTATTTTTCCATTAAGCTATTTATTGGTTGATTCACAGCTCTATGTTTATTTTGGGGATTCCTTTTAAATCCTGCTGTTTTGGTATGTACTACAATCAATTTAAGATGTGATTATGGGCAGACACTCAGACTGCTTACCTGAATTCTCAGTTCCTGCTGGGGCAACATTCTGACCGAAAGAGCCAACAACTAGACCTAGCCATTCGAGCATCATGGAATGCTTCCTGTGCTGGAAGTACATCCACTCACTATCCTGAGGAAGGAAAAGTTACCAGTTAGAATTGTCTGTCAACCATTATGACAGCAGGGTTTCTGCAAAGGATCAAGAAAATAACTTCCCAGGGGATTAGGAGTATCTCGAATCACTAATAAAATTCAGATGCTACAAACTGGCAACTTCTGGGCAATTGAAACATTTACTATGACTTACAAATATTCTGAAAAACAATTCCCCAGTCTTGAAAAAATTTGAAACTGTGGGAACAACTAGTCTTTAGTACTAAACAGAAACATGAGCCTCGAGCTGAGATGCTGTCATTCCTTTCCCACAGCTCCTCTCTGCTTCCTAAAGTTCCATATTCTCATTACTTTATTTACATAACCTCATTAATTGCTTCAAGAGGTTACAGCCCTGAAAATCACCAACTAAGTGATAATAGAACATACTTTTCACTGGGTTCCTGGCCCGCCACTTTACAGAGATCATCTCAGTTATTTCTTAGAACACTGCGAAGGCAGGCACTATTATTGCCCCACTCTGACTACTGAAAACCACACTGGCCCACATCAGTGTGCATGACCCAGTACTGTCAACTCCTAAAGTTCTCTAGACATGCTAGGGACCTGGGGACATAGTTCAGTGGTATAGCACTGGCCTAGGACGCACAAGGTCCAGGGGCTCAATCCATAGCACTACCAAATAATTTTTTAAACTCCAGATGTGCTAAGCTGCCTTTGCTTATGATTTTATTTCATTTAACATTTAGTATACTAAGTTCAGAGGTTTACAAATACTAACTTATTTATCCAAATAATAACCTTCTGAATGAATCTGTAAGCTGGTAAGAATAGATACTGTACTTGATCTTAGCCAAAAGGCCAAGGGGTGATGAAGTAATCTATAAACAAACAGCCATTTTTACAAGCCAAATCTACAAATCCTGGCAATTTCATATGGTTCAATTTTTTTTTTTTTTTTTTGTACTGGCAATCAAACTCATGACCTTGTGCTTACCAGGCAGGCACTAGTAATGCGGAGCTAAACCCCTGACCCAATATGGTTTAACTTAATGCTTGTATTATCCCCACTTTGTAACAGGGCAAAGGGAGAGAAAAAAAAGCAAGTAATTCTCCTGAAGAAAGCCAGAATTCAAACTGAGCAGGCTGGTTCCTGAGTCTTGTTCCTGACCATTATACTCAACTGCTTTCAATCATGAAACTGAACTCTTCACCTAGGGCAGCATCAGATTACCAAACAACTAAAGCTCTGGATGGATTGCTACTTCTGCTGGAGGCTGCCTTCAAGTGCTCAGGCAGAGACTGGGGCAGGGATTCAGAGACTGCTCGTGTCACACACACACACACACACACACATATATATACACACGCACAATACTGGAGGCCAAACCCAGGGCCCCACTGGTAACTGCTTTTCAACTGAGCTGCACCCCTAACCCTATTTTTGTTATCTAGAATGAATCTACCTGCATAGGTCCGCTCATCAGGCTTTCCCAATGTTTGGAGGAGATGTACTTCTCTAGGTGCTGCTCTCGAAGGACACCACGCATAGTGCATTCCAGAGTCTGAGCCCCTTCATGGAGCTCTTGCTCTGACTCCTTCATCTCTGTCACAATCTGCCAAGAACAGAAGAAAAGAAGTGATGAAGAAACATCATCTTCTCCCTAATTCAGTCATTGCCCTGAGGAAAAACAAAGCTAAGGAAGGAAATACAGGAAAGGAAAATAAAGAGATCAGTCAACAAACTGGTTTCCAAGGAATATTACTACATTCTTGAAATCAAAGGTTTAGCATTAACAAGCACACTTCACAATTAAGAAGACAAGGAAACAAGTAATGCAACAATAAAATAGGTCAAGGATTTTGTGTAGATTTCAAGCCTCACAGTGTATGTTCTTCCTTAAATAAGAACTCACTTTTTTTTTTTGGTACTGGGATCAAACTCGCGACCTTGCACTTACCAGGCAAGTGGTGGAGCCACTGAACTAAATCCCCAGCCAGAACTCACTTTTTAACTTTTTTTATTTTTTAACATTTTTAAGTGACAAGGGTCTTACTCTGTTGTCTAAGCTGGCCTCAAAACCCAAGTGATCCTCCTATCTCAGCCCTTCTAAGTAGCTGAGGCTGTGGACATGTGCCATCATGTCTGCCTCAGCCTCAGCTTTTTGACTGGGTTCACTGTTGCTGAGCTAAGAGATGATGTTTCCTTTTGTCAGTGGACATGGAATATGTAAAAATGCTGTGATGGTTTTGGAAAAAGTAGCCTTAATGCTCTGGTGGAAAAGGGTAGGGGCGGTGTGCCTTTTTTTGTATCTACCTTGGATTATAAAGGCAAAGGTTACACTGAGAGAGATTAGCAGAATGAAATGTTGGAAAGAACTTTTCTCCCTGTGAGGGGCCCCCATATCTATCTACCTGAGGCTGCCTATTCAGAAAGTCAGTGTTATTTTGTGTCCGTCCCTCTGAGCTACCTCATATACTCTAGAGCCGAGACTTACACTCATGTAAGCTCTCCGGAGATGCATGGGAAGGTTGCGGCGGAATTCCCGCTTGTTTCTCAGCTCCCTCAGGGTGAACTGTTTCAGGATTTCACTGTTGCTCCTTCCACCCACCCGCACGATGCTGGTCTTTTGACACTTGTAGATGCCTATAGAGGAAAGTGGAGAATCACAGGGTTAAGAAAGAACAATGCTAAGCTTTCTGGGATGCGAGTTGTGTGGGATCTTATCTCAACTGATTCCTCCAGAAACAAACTTCTGATTAGAGGAAAATTTACTCCATTAAAGAGCAAGAATGTCCCAGAGAAGATGTGAGCTTCAGGACAGTAACACAGTGCTTAAGAGCACAGGCTCTAGAATCAGATAAGAGGGGACACAAATCTTGGCTCCAATGCTTAGCTGCTGTAAAATTTGGACAAGTTATTTGTATTTAGTTTCTTTATCTGTGATTTGGAGAAGTAAAAACTTCTTATGGGACAGTCTACACAAATGAAAGAATTTTAAATCTCTACGTACGGCAACACAAAGCAAGCACTATTATCTATTATGGAGATTTAATGACTGCTTATGTGTTCCAGATATTTGCCATATTCTGAAAATACAGTGACCAAAGTACAAACTAAGTTATCGATCTGTTCTCCTGTCTCCTATTGTAGCAGAGAACATACTTATTAAACAAGTTATTATAATGGCAAGAAACATAAATACTATAAGTACATGATGCTGCAAGTGGATAGTAGAACATTTCCTCTGATCTAGGTGAGGTGGATTGAAGATCTAATATTTAAAATTGAGATTTTAAGAATCAAGATGATTGGGCTGGGGATTTAGCTCAGTGGCATAAGCGCCTGCCTGGCAAGCGTGAGGTCTTCAGTTCAATCCCCAGCACTGAAAAAAAAAAAAAAAAAAAAAAAAGAATCAAGATGATTTATCTAGGTGAAAGGAAGATACAGAAGAATGAAAAATCTAAGCAAAAGGAAAAACATGCACTTAGTTTATTCATTAATGCAATCAGTATTTTCTGAGTGTGTGATATGTGCCAGAATGAGTAAATACAGTAGGAAACTTGACCAGTATCTAAGAAGAGTTTATGATCTAGGAAAGAAACACATAAAACAGATTATAAAGGGAAAGAATATAAAAAGAGACCTAACTGTCTGGAGGTGATGAGTAAAATCCATCTGAAAGATTTAAGGTAAGAGCTGAAGAATTAGTTGGAACCAGTCCGAGTGGCTAGGTTCAATTTGGAGAGCGCAAAGGAAAGAAGTACATTCTGGGCAGGAGAACAGCAGATTCAAGGAACTGAAAGTAGTTAGTATTACTGGAGTTCTACAGAGTTAGACTACGACAGATCCATTACAGCCTTGCGGGTCTAGGTAAGAACTTCATATTCAAAGAATAATAGAAAGCTTCTAAAGTTGCTAATGAGTCATTTATAAGAATGATTTTGCCTATAAACGATACCTTCCAGAAACTGGTCCAAAGCATGATTAGTATAACATACAACCAAGATGGGGAACTTCTGGGCACTAATTTGCCAAACACACTCGTTGGTCAGAAGGGCTTGAACAATTTTTAGACCCACGTAGGTTTTGCCTAGAAAAAACAAACAAACAAAAAAAACAACTTATAAATATGGAGACTTTCTAAAAGAATAATTATTTAGAGCAATTCTGTTTGTTTATTTGGAGATAATGCCCGGTCTGGTCTTGAAGGAACTCCTGAGCTCAAGCTACCCCTCAGCACCTCCATGAACTGGGAGTATAATATATATATATATATAAATTTTTTTTTTTTTTTTAAACCGGTACCAGGGATCGAACTCACAACCATGCACTTGCAAGGCAGGCACTTATACCGCTGAGCTAAATCTCCAGCCCCAGGGAGTATAATGTATACATCACTATTCCTGACTGTCTTTTTTGTTCTAATTTCGAGGTAACACACTAAGATGGTTTAAAACCTAAGAAGCACAAATGAGTATACTGTCAAGTCTCCATGCCACATGGTTTATTTCAGTGGAAGCAACCAATTTTACCAGTTTCTTGTGAAACTTCCCAGAAATACTTTCTATGCATATACAAAAAAAAAAATGAGTATTTATTGTTTTCCTAGCCTTCCACTTTTTAAAAAAGATACAAATAGTAGCAGATTCTTTGTACTGTTCTACATCTGGCTTTTTTCATGTGATATATCTTGGAGGCTGTTCTCTATCAAGACATAATCCATACCCTTCTTTAAAGGCCAGTTCTCTAATGATGGCAATATATATTGTTTCCAATTTCACATAATTAATTCTTCAGAAATGCTCTTTATATTCTGAACAAAAAAAACTTACCGAAAAACTACAACCAAATCAGATCTCACTGTTTAAAGTATCTTTTTTTCCTCGTCCTGTCTTTTCCCACTTTCCAGTATACTCAAGAAAATGAAAAAATTGTAATGGATCACTATAAAATATTTTACTTTCTAAAAGTCTTTTTGGCCTATTGTAATATGCAGGACCCCTCTCATTTGATCAGTCAGATAGGTAATTACGTGAGTATAGGTTGAAAAAGTTATGTAAAAAGAAATTATAATAAAAGGGATACTTTGCTTTTTAAAAAAAGAAAAGAAATGCTTTTTATACAATATAGTAAACTTGCCTTTGTGACAATGAAAAATCACAAAAATCAGCATTATTCAAATCAGAGTTATAGACTCATTAGTAAATTACCTTTAATTAATTAAACCTATAAACCACTAAATTTTTCCACTGTATCAGACTAAGGTAGCCACCATTCTCAAAAATATAAAGTACAAAGAATGATGTAAGAAAATCAAATATTTCAATATAGCATAATAGGGGCTGGGGATTTAGCTCAGCGGCATAAGCACCTGCCTTGCAAGCAGTTAGTTGTGAGTTTGATCCCCGGTACCAAAAAAGAAAAAAAAAAAAAAAAAAAAAAAATATATATATATATATATATTTATATATATATCACAATAAAACACTTCTTCCTTTTCTTCTTCTTTTTTTTTAAGACAGATTCTCATTAAGTAGTCCAACCAAGCCTTGATATCACTCTGTAGCCCAGGTTGCCCTCAAACTTGCAATAATCCTGCCTCAGCCTCCTGAGTGCTGGGATAACAGGCATGCACTACCATGCTCAGCCATTAAATTTCATTCTTGAGGATAAAAATTGGCTACTGTGCCATACACTGGCAGAGATTAATCTGACAATACTTTATCTATTAAAATTACAAATGCACATTTTTCTTGATCCAGTTAGGAATTTTTCTTAGAGATATATTCTGTTTGTGTGTAAAGTGATACACAAACAAGCTTATTCAACATACAATTGTATCAGTGAATTTTTTCATAGTGAACTGGTTATAATTATGATCCACCTATACAATGGAATATGTACAACAGAGTATTATATAGTCACAAACAATACTTTTTAATATGTACTAATATGAAAAATTCTCCAATATATAAAGAGCCAAGTAACTGGAGAATCATGTTTATAGCACAGTGGGTTTAAATAAAGTAACAGGAATACATACAAGTATGTATTTATTTTAATATTTACAGTGTGTCCTATCTCTGGAATGATAAAAAAGGAAATTAATATTGTTTGGTTTAAGAAAACAAATACAATCTTGTTTTGAAGTCTCATCTAGCTTTTGTCCTTCTGTCTCCAATGATCTAAATAGGCTGTATCTTATTGGATTTTATTATGTATGATAGTATAAGCAAAAACCTGTTAAAGACAAGGAGATTATACAGAAACCATTGTTCATTTTGTTAGTCGATTCTAAATACTCTGTAATGCTGTCATTCTCTCGAATGGTTTTACATTGTTTTGATATACTTAATGCTACAGTATACGAAGTTGTACTCAAGGATTTCAAAGAAAGAAACAATATGGTAACTACTTTTAGGTTAGGATTATCTGGTGGTGAAACACTATTCTGCTTAAATGGTTATGTTTTGATCTGCGCTGTTTCGTTGTTATGCCCTCTTTTATCTCAATCTCCACTCCATTATTTACTTTTTTATCTTTATCCTTTTAATTAAAGGAAAAAAAATAGCAGGATATATTATAGTAACCCACTTTGACTTTTCATTACCTTGATTTAAAGCCCTGTATTTCTCTCACCATCTGGTTTTTAACTGATGTTCCCCTATTCTGTTTTGCTGGATAGTATCAGGTTCGAAAGTTTAGGCATCAGCTGTGAAGATAATGAGATTCATTATGACGCCCATTCTTGTTGACTTTTATCTACTTTTGAAGACCTACAATGTCTCCAATGTTTTGGTTTTGTCGGTTTTATTCTTTACTGTTTTGTTCAATTGTATTTTAACTAATGATACAGGCAATTCTATTAGAGATAGCGGGAGGCATTATGGTAACCATTGTTGATCACCTTGTATTATGTTTTTACATTATCTATTATGTCCACCCTTTTGACTTGACCGATTCTGTTCTGTTATGTCACATTTGGTTTTACTCTCTTCCAAAAAAGTAATAAGAACCGTGGGAGCAATGAAACCCAAAATGTGTAATAGTCATGGTACAAAAGAGAGGAAAAGAAAGTGCTCCAAACTATATAACTGCAGGTATATTTAAGTGTATAAGATAGAAAATGATATCACAGAGTTTTATTGGATCAATGAACAGAACTGTTTGCAGTATCATTGATGGAATGTCCACTTTACAAGCTTTAATTTTGTGACTTGAACAATTATTTCTAAGATGACAATATGTAATCCATTAACTAGTGATTTCCTACTGTTCATTTTTTTCTGTAAATCTGTATAACTTCTACCCTTTCCCTGCTTTTTTTTTCTTTTCTCCTTAAATAAAATTTAAAAAAAAAAAAAAAAAAAAAAAAAAAAAAGAAAACAAATACATTGAGATGGTGAGGGGAAAGAGAAATTTTTAAAATGCGAGCCATTATTTGTTAAAATATAATATAAAAATTAATAATGAGCCAGGTATGGTGATGCACACATATAACCTCAGCTATTGGAGAGTCTGAGACAAAAGTGTCAAGTCTGAGGCCAGTCTTAGCAACTTAGCAACACCCAAGATCAAAACAGAAAAAGAGCTGGAGGTCTAGCTCAGTACAAAGGTGTCAGGTTCAATCTTCAGTACTGTTTAGAAAAAAAAAAAGTCCAAAATTTTAACCTCTCAGATGAGCAAAAACTAGAAAGACTAATAACATACAACAATGCTGTAAAGGATATTAGGAAATGGGAATGTTAATTCACTGTTGGTGGACTATAAACTGGTATATTTTCTCCTCCCATTTTAAAAAGGCCCTCTTAATATCACCTTAAATTATGTATGTTAGTAGGCATGGTAGCACATGCTTGAAATCTCAGCACTTAGGAGTCTGAGGCAGGAGGATCACTGCGAGTTTGAAGCCAGCCTGGGCTACAAAGTGAGTTCAAGGCCAGCTGGAATTGCATAGTGAAACCCTGCCTCAACAAAGACCGCACCCTCAACCTGTATATTTCTATTTAATAGGTATTTCCCATCAGAAAGAATTTTCCATTGTTACATGTCTTAAAAAATCTTATTATTAAAAAAACTTTTTTTTTTGTACCAGGGATCGAACTCACAACCTCATGCTTGCCAGGTAGGCACTTACAATGTTGAGCTAAATCCCTGGCAAAAAAACCAAAAAAACAAAAAACTTTTCAGTGTTTTATTTTTGTTCTTTTCTCGACACAGGATATTGCCATGTAGCCCAGGTTGGTCTTTCCTTCTGACTCAGACTTCCAAGTCCTGGGATTACAGGTATGCACCACCAGGCCTGGCTTTTTTCAGTGTTTTTTTTTTAAAAAAATTCTCCCTGTTTCAGTTTTATTGTTTCATATATCCTCTTGGGAGGGCACTTTAGCATTCTTATTACAACTACTGTGATAACAATCTTGACCAGATTGAGAAATGCCTAAGAAACAAGTAAAGTACACTTTTGGGTGTGCTTGGGGTTTTCCAGAGATGATCAGATCACAGGGACTTGAATTTCAACAGTAGGTTAGTCCATTCATGAGTTCATAATGTGGTAGCACATTAGGAGGTGATGGAAACAGAAAGTGGGGACTCCTGATCCTGGGAACTAGTTCCTGGCCCCTTTCTCTTTGACTCACTGTTCTCTACTTCTAGAGGACCATAAGGTGAACAGCTTTGCTTTACCATGCACTACCATCATGATGTTCTCACCTGAGGGCCACAGGAATGGAACTAGTCAACCAAAGACTGAAACTTTTGAGACTAAGAGCCAAATTATAAACCTTTCTTCAAGTTTTTCCCCCAAGGTATTTTTCCCCCCAGATATTTTGTCACAGTGATGGAAAACTGACCAATGCAACTATTAACTTGAAGTTTATGATGTGTTCTTACATATAAAAAACTATAAACCAATTTCTACAAATATGATCCCTTTTTGTTGATAAAAGGACAAATACTACTACATATCTAAACACATAAAAACACACAGAAGAACACCTGAAAAGATACACATTAAAGTGCTAACCACAGCTAACACCCTAGAGTAGGATTAACAGACTGATGCATTGGAGAAGGAGGTATAGGGAGGTATGCTTCCACAAGAAGCAAGTTTAGTGTGGAAGATTCATAGTAGCCAGGATTCTATAGTCATACTGCAGAGTTCAAGTCCTCGGTCTGGCACTTAACCACATGTATGAGCTGAAACACACAACTAATACCTCTTAAGTAAAGGGTTCATCTTTTTTGCCTTAGTTTTCAGTGTAAAAAGGTTTTGACAATGGTTTCTGCCTCAGTGTTTTTGTGAGGACAGAATGAGTTAACATACATGAAGCATATAGAATACTTCATACATAGTGCTAAAATGTTATATTTGATACTATTTAAAATAATACAAAAGAGGCAGGGATATAGCTCACTGGTAGAATGCTTGCCTAGCATGTCTATGAGTTCTACCCTCAGCACTAGAAAAAAAAAAAACAAACCAAAACAAAAGAAAATGAGAGGCTGGGTTCAGCGACATAAGCGCCTGCCTGGCATATGCAGGATCTTGAGTTCGATACCTGGTACCAAAAAACAAAACAAAAAACCCACAATAAAAAAGTGAAAACAAATTAATATGTCTTTAGTTGAAACAGAGATAATAATGGGTAATATATCACCTGAATGTAACCTCTAGCAGTATTTTTTTTTTTTTTTTGGGACCGGGAATTGAAATAGGATTTTGCGCTTGCCAGGCAGGCACTTATGCTGCTGAGCTAAATCCCTAGCCCAGCAGTCTTTCCTGATCTTGTGATTTTGATCTGTTATCATGTATGCCCAGAGTCCTCACTGAGAAATTATTATGTGTGGTACTTTATAAACAACTTTTATGCCTATTTCAGAGAAATGTTTCTAAACTAGTTGTTGTAAAGCCTCTTATCTTATAAGACACATGTTACACACTCTGAAAAACTCTGTCTTACCCGTGCCAGGAGGTCCTTGAATAATAGCTAGTTCCCTTGTGAGAGCAAACTGCAAGGCTTCCATCTGTGAGTCATCCAGCTTCAGGGCTTCTTTTGAAGGCCACTGACTAAGGTCTAAGACATTAACTTTAGGACGTCTCAAGCCCTCAAGAATCCTCCAAGATTCCCCAATAGTGGAGGGATTCTCTATTAAAGGGGTGAAATCATATCTGCCTCCCATTAGCAAGTATCTTGGTTCTTTCACATGAGAGTCACACTCCACAATATTCCTCTGGAATGGAACATCTTCCTCCTGGACTTCCTGGAGTCCTTCCAGGACATGCCTGTATGCCTCAAAGTATGCTGTTGTTTCCACCATGAGGAAAGAATCTGAGGGCTGTACTTCTGCTAGCAGCTGTTGGCTCTGCTCATTGAAGCAGAGCTGAACAATTCCTCGGCAGAGATCTTCTTGTTCCCGGTTAGAAACTGTGGCAAAAAGAAATGTCTCAAAGTTGTCCTTGGACATGCATACCAAGGACCCATACAGCAATCGCTTAGAATTCTGCCAGCGTACAAACTTCAGTGGTTTTGTGTCAAACTGCACCTTGTAGACAATGCCTGATGATGAACACATGGGAGTGATAATCCTGGTATCAAAGTAGATTCGGATGTCATCAAACTTTCTCTTTCTCAGGCATTGGTCTTCAAAGCTTTGGAGAAGTTCCAAAATGCCTTCCCGTAGGGGTCTGACAAAATCTTCTCGCAAGAGTCGGAAGTGGGTATCCAGATAGACAGCAGTGCTATCATACTTTCCAGAAATGATGTTGGGGCGAAGAAAGGGCCTCTCATCCAAGTGTACTTCATTGTAGGTTGGGTATATGGGCATGGTTCGGTAGCTCTCAACATGGCCTTCTGCCTCAGGCTGCACTAGAGTGTAGGTGTCCGCTCTCAAAGTGCCCTCTCGTCTCTTTTCCTGTAGATGTTTAATGATGGTCTGCACCTTTTCTAAGTTCTTCTCTATTTCCTCTTCTATGTCAACACCAGAGGCTCTCAAGGCATTAAGAGAAGCTGGCAAGAGAGAAATGAGCATGGAAGTTTCCTGTACAGAGCTGGCAGGAAAGACACTTACAAGGTCCTGGAGAAGAGAGATGATATTGCTTATGTGTTCTGGATATTGGTTTCGAATGTCAGCAATGGGTTCAGTAATCATCCTTACTACATAAGTAGGCAGGCAGACCTTGAGGAATTTGGAGTTCTTCAATATGCCTAGTACATGAAGAATGCTCTTACGGTCCATTTTAGAGCTGCAAGCTTTCCGAAGAACCTGGCAGATGAGCTCAAGGAAGTTGGGTTTCATGGAAGAATGAGACAGAAGTTCCTTCAGTCCTAAACTTGTGGCAAGTGTGATGACCACCTCAGAGGGGTCTTTCTGCAGAAGGCTTTCTAGGAACTTAAAGCCCAGTTTCTTTACCTGCTGTGGTTGTTCTGCAGGCTTCTGGTGGGAGGTTCTCCACTGCTGGAAATTTTCATTGGACCATGGTGGTCTGTGGTTCCTTCCTTCTTGGTTGTCATTTCTCCGCCTGGCATCATTCTCTTGACCATGTCTTTGGCCTCTAGCTTCATCACCAGTATGCTCTTCTTGGTTCCTTCTTCCCTGATGTGGGTTCCTGCCCATGGCCCTAAATCTTTCTTCCCTCTGCCGGTAAGGAACAGGATGAATGTTGCCTCTTGGATGCCTTCCAAGATGACAGGCTTCTCCTCTGAGAGCATTAGCTGGTGGATTATTGGCCTGATTTCTAGTTCTCGGTGGTAATTCTCCATCCACAGGCCCTAAACACAATGAAATATTAGGTAAGAACAAATTCAAGGGGCAAGCAAACCTAATAGTACAATGATGATTTCATTTTCCAAAACAACTAAGAAGTTCAATTTTTACTTGGAAGAGCAAAAAGGTTTCCTTCAGGCTCAGTGGTAGAATACATACCTAGTATGTGTGAAGCTCTGGATTTAATACTTAACCCTTCAAAATAAAAAATGTATTACTGCTGTATAGATTATGAAAATATTATTTCACAAAAGAGGCAAAAGAAATAAAACATTTGTTCCATGCCTAATACATACCAGAGAATATACATATGTAGTATCGCATTTAATTCTCACAAGCTGGAACTTAAAACTTTCAGAAGGTACAAAGATTAGATAAGCTCACTGTTTTTAGTTTCTGGCCAATATCAAACAATAGTCAGAACATGAATTGTGTAGCCAAAAATATTTGGTTCTAGTCTTGGCTTAGCCACTTCCTCAATGTGCAACATCTGAATCTCAGTATCTGGCTTGGTACAAATTAAACATTTATATAAAACATACAGAATATACCTGACACATCTCATAAATTTTAGTTATTACTAGGAGCAGCAGCAATAACTTTTTATTGGGGATCCCCTATTAATTCCTGTAGGTGCTGGTTCTGCCAAACAATTATTATAGGTGAGGAGGGCCTTAAGTGGAATAAAACTATGAAGGAAAGTTTGTCCAGCAGCATCAAATATAGTCTGAAAGGGGAAAACAGCTTTCACTACCAAGATACTTTTTCAGTCAATTAACAGGCAGTGAAGGAAACTGAAACACAGATATCAAGTTTTGCTTTAGAAAACTGAAATATTAAACTGAACCTCTGATTCACAAAACTGAAAAACAAAGGTGAACTTTTCCTCTTTCTGTGTCACAAGTTCACCTACATGGCAGTTTTGATTAACAACACTCATACAGGAAGCTAGAGGAAGTGAGATGGTGAGAACACAGTCAGTACATGCAGGAATGCTAATATTGCTTTGAGTGAATCCAAACTCTTCCTCTTCGTTCTGTCACACATTTCATAAGAAACTTTGTCCAACATACTCAAAGATCAATTTTTTTCACTTCTCTGTCCTTTAAAACTGATTCTTAAGCTGACTTGACTTAGCGGAATAATGCTGAGATTTGACAAACAAGACTTGTATACAATGATTTGATAATTTACTGTTATGAAGGTTATAAAAATAGGTGCTTCAGATAATCATATTATTTCATGACATCAGATGCTGAATCCATTTATGTGCAGCTGGGCCAGGGATATAGCCCAGCAGTACAGCACTAGGTCCTGAGTTCAATATCCAGTGCCAAGAAAAAAAAAAAAAAAAAAAAAAGGAAAAGTATACTTCATTTATATGCAATTGTTTTTTTATTTTTTAATTTTTGTCTTTTTCCTTTTTATCGGTACCAGGGATTGAACTCACGACTGCCTGCTTGCAAGGCAGGTGCTTATGCCGCTGAGCTAAATCCCCAGCCCTTGTTTTTTTATTTTGTGGAGAGAATTTTGACAACAGAAAATATTTGGCAAGATATAAACAATGTACAACTAGGTTGCAATGTTTTTGTATTTGTTATTTTAATATTTACTATTCAGGGCTGAGGATTTAAGGATTTAGCTCAGTTGCATAAGTGCCTGACTAGCAAATGTGAGGTCATGAGTTTGATTTCTGGTACCAAAAAAAAAAAAAAAAAAAAAAAAAAGTGCTTGTCAAACTCCCAAAATTAAAAAAAAACAAAACCTATTTCCTATTATATTTTGATCTGCTTAATGACTGTAACTTGAAAGAAAACTATCATTTCTCATTCTTTAAACATTCACATAGCCTATGAGATAAAATCCCTGTTTCTTATCTCTTGTTCTGTAGTTAAAACTTGAAAGCCATGTTGTAAACTTAAGAAAAAACAAGACAACAATGATACAGTGTATTAACTATTGCTGTTCTCTTATTTTGTGGAGAAATTCTTAATGTTTCATAAAATAAATAATTAAATGAATGAAAGAAATACAGGAACACAACAGTTGTTTCACAGTAAAAGTCCTAAGCACACAGAATACTTCCATTAACAGAGTAATGCTCTTGGAACTAAATCTGACTTGATAACTAGTTGTCTATACTTACTCTCTATTTAATACATAGCCACTTAGCACTTATGGCTAATATTTAAAAATTTGAAGGGAAAGAAAAATATTAAAATTATTAATGTCCTGATACAAAATATACTCAATTACAATGTAATTATAGTATTTTGGATATATTAAGATATTAGATCATGAAGTTTTATTAATATTACAATTTTTAATTTTAAAAATGATGCTACTAAAAAATTAAAAATTATATTTTTGGCTTGTATTATGCTCCTCCTAGATAGCAATGTTCCAAACCAAGATTTCTACTTCTGATACAGCATCACTGTTTTTGTTCAAGCGAACTACACCCATTCATCATCTCTCAGGCAAAGGAGAGGGAAGAGCGTTTTTCAGTCATTCATGCCATAGCTAAGGAAACTTCCTACCATGCTAGAGGTTTGAACCCTGGGATGCTCTACGACTGAGCTAGATTTCCAGCCCTTTCTTTAAACTTTCGTTTTGTTTGGTTGAGATAAAATGAGATGGCCTTGGGCCTTGAACTCACAGTGATCCTCCTACCTCCGTCTCCTAAATGCTGGGATTACAGGTGTGCACCACTATGCCCAGCTTAATTTCTTGAAACAGGGTCTTACTATGTTAACCAGGCTGGCCTTGAATTTGCAATCCACCTGCATCAAACTCCTGAGAAGCTGTAATTACCGATGTGTGCCACCACACTTGGTAAGTAAGGCATTCCTTACTTCAAAGTTATTTAATCAGGTGGGCCTGTTCACCCTGAAATCCAATTTCAATGATTTCTTAGAATTTCTTTTTCACTAAGTGGGAAACTTTACTTACCTCTGTAGTTAATATGAGGATTCCTGGCTCTGGCCTCCAAATGAGGTCTTCTGTCCTCCATGTCTAAGTCACTCAAATTCTTCTACATTCACGTTACTTTCTTTACCTTAACTGCAAAGGTTAGGAATTATCAGTGCCCTTGAAACAACATCTAGCAGGAAAAATCCAAAGGCCATCAAACCAGTCCTTCTGCCTATGCATTTTAATGACTTATTAACCAAGAGTTAAATGTAGATTTTAATCATAAGCACAAGTTCTCAATTCTGTTAACACCTACTTATGATACCAAACATTAAATTTACAATTTAGGTGATTTTAAAGGATCAAATTCTCCTGTTCCTTTATTGTTGCACTTTCTTCGGGTATAGGGAAGTCATTAATTCACATCCCAAACAGCACTGGTTTATGCCTTTGCCGAGTTACTTAATCAGTTGTTAGGTTTCATTTTCCTTTTCTCCAAGGCAGACAAATACTGTTCCCAAGGTAAAAGGAATACATTTCTATTAATTCAAAATTGTATTTATCACCCCATTTGACATTTACATTTATAGTACTCTACAGCTTACAATCCCCTATAGTTTGAAAATTATTGAACAGTTATTGCTTTTCCTAGTCTTTGGAACACAGCCAAATGATTAAACCTTCTGCTGTTCTGAATCCAGAGAAATTTATTTCAGTAACTAGGAGGGTACAGGGTGCTGTTTCCTTGGGACTGGCTAGAAATCTGCAGTCTTTTCTTTTTCTGTCATCTTGATGACTTTTTAAACACAGTTTCTATAAGAGGAAGCCCCCTTAAGGAAGCTTCTCAATCTAACGCATGCATATCACATGGGCTAGGGCTGGGAAGAAGTAGGTGACTCAGAGCCCTCAGCAAAGGGATTTTTGAGACAGTCCTTTCGGAGTTTTAAAATATTCATAATTAGAAATTGTGAATAGATTTGACATTACATGAGAGGTAGCTTTTATCTTCATTGGAAAAAGGAGTCCCTTTTACCCCCTCTGGTGATATTTTTGGTGAGTCTCTTCTCTCCATTTATTAAACCCTGTTTTCATGGTGCAGGTCCAATATTTACAGTTGTTTTATTTTGTCTTTTTAAATTACCTGAGAGGAAATCCTTTGTTATTCTGTTTGAAAAATATTAAACTAGAAACCCAGAAAGGGAAGAAAAGGAAAGGAAGGTAACAGTGTGTATGAATAAGAAATGCAATGAAAAACAGAGGACAGAAGTGGATTTCTTGGGAAACCAAGGCAGAAATGGTAGGAAGAAGAAAACCAGTGATGGTCAAGTGGGTTTAGGGAAGGGAATTAGAGGGAAACGGTAGTTACCAGAGAGAGATGAAAGGGGCTGAGGCTGGATGCAGCACCTAGATTGCTGGGGGAAATCACCAGTCTTGAGAGGGATCTGAGCACATACGAAACACTGGCTCTTGCAGGAAATACTATAGGTTCAGGGACAGCCAAGGCTGGGTGGCAGCTTTGTGAGGAAAAAGACCCATCGCCAGGGATTCCAAAAGAGGATGTGGCCGAGTTCAGGTGGGGAGTGCTTGCTGAACTGACAGGGAACTTCAGCAGGGTTGAGTACATTCAAGATGGGGGATGAATGAGGCCACAGGGAGACGAGGTGGGTGGATGTGAGAGGGACAGAGATGGTGTTGGTGAGGCCAGAGGTGAGCGACAGCTGGTGGCACAAGTGAGGGCACAGATGTGCGATGGAGGCGCTGGCACTGAGAAGGAGAGCAAAGCATTGTGAAGAGCCAGCGAGAAGCTGAGGGGGTGACAGGGACACTAAGGAGGGCGACTGGGGTGTTAGGCAATGAGGTGACAGAGGCGCTGAGGAGACAAGGACTCTGGGGAGGGATGATGGGGATCAAGGTGACGGCGTGCTGAGGAGGGTGATGGGGTGCTGAAGGCTGACTAGGTGACAGGGCGCTAAGGACAGGAAACAGGAACTCAGGGTAACACTGGGGGCTCAGGGGGGTGCCAAGGGGAGCTGAGGACACAGGGACAGGGACTCTGAGGTGACAGAATTGAGGTGAAAGGAGACGAGGACTCTGAGGGTGGTGATGGGGTCGAGGGGGCGACGGGGGCATGGAGGGAAGGGGCGAGGGATTAAGGGTGATGAAGGGAGCTGAGGGGCTAAGAAGACCCTAGGGCTCAGGGTGGCGATGGGAATGGAGGGGCGACAGGGGCGCTGTGAATACGGGGAGCAGGGACTCTGAGGGAGGGAATGGGGGCTAAGAAGGCGTCAGGGTCGCTGAGGGTGATGCTGGAAGTTGAGGGGTGACGGGCGTTGGGGAGACAAGAGACAGGCTGGTGACTGGGGCTGAAGGGGTGACGGGGCGCTAGGAGGAACAGACAGGGATTCTCGGGGTGGTGGTGGGGCGACCGGGTCGCCGGGGCAGGTGTGGGGACGGGAGGGGACCACTCACCGGGGTGCGGCGCGTCTTTCCGCCCCGTCGCCGCCGGTCAGTGTTCCGCTCCGGCCCAAGCAGGTTGGCGGCCCCGCCCGCCGCCGCGCACTTTCGGTTTCCTTCCCCGCAGACCCTGGGCGGAGGGAGGAGCCGGGCGGGCAGCCCGGAGGAGGAGGAAGTGGAGGAGGAGGAGGCAGCGGGGACTGGGGCGTGAGGGGCCGGGCTCCAGCACCGCGGCCCGCGTCCCCGCCCTCGGGGAGAGCAAAAGAGATAGCGTCGCTTCAGCTCCCCCGCGTGGCCGGGCCGGCGGGCTCGGGCGGGCTCGGTTGAGGGGAGGGGACTGCGGGGGGCGGACGAGCAGCGCCCAAGGCCGTCGCAGGCCTCAGCCAGCCCCAGAGGCGGGGGCACGCGGTAAGCGGCTTGGTGCGTGTGAAGCGCGACATGGCGGCGAGACTGAGGAGACCGAGTTGCTCAGTGTATACGGGGAAGAGGGCGGGGCCAGGCTCCGCTCCGACAACCATTGGAGCGCCTCGTGCTGGGCGGGCCTAAAACTACATTTCCCAAGGATCACAGCAGGCACTAACCGGAAGGGGCGGCCTCAAATCCATTGCGCACGCGCACCAGGAGTCTGTCCTTATATAAGAGAGGTTCAGGCCTGTAGTCGGCCTTTCCCATCTGCTGCGCTCTGAGGCTGAGGTCACCTCTGTTGTGCTTCAGAGATTGTGGTTCCCGCCTCGTGAACCCACGTTGTGTGTACGGTAAGTGGAGGCCCTTCAGTTTTCCCTTCGCGAGCTCTAGTCCTCTTTTGCACTTTTCGTTCCGTAACGTCTCCGTAGGTGACGCCAAAATTGTCCTGAGGCTGCAGGAAACGTGAGCTACGTGGAAAAATCTGCGCTTTCTGCGTGGGTCCGAAAGGCCTTTTGCTGGTGTAAATGATGACTCACTTTTTTCCCCATCATATCGACAATGCTGATCTTTTAGAATATTTGCCAGTTAACTCCTGATACGCCAGCTTTAAAAGACCTAGTCATGCTCCTTTAGCCGTGAGGAGATGGCCATTCATGACTTTTCTTTGTAGGTTGTCGAAGTCAGGGAGTATAGCATGGATGTGAGAGAACGGAGTCACCTCTGGGCCTATGAGAGATTCCGATTTAGATCTCTCCAACCTTGGATCTCTTGACCTACGCGGTAAGGATTTGTCTACGGACTGTTCTAGGGTACATACTCTTTAGGAAAGCGTCTTAGTTGGCTGTGGAAACTTGTAGAAATAAGGCTTAATGTTGGTGAATGTTCGGAGAAGAATGGGACTCGTGGCCTCCTTTACTCTTGTGCTGTAATGATGGGTTAGAGTCTCACAGCTATTACAGAGAAATTCTGTTGATTACCTGTTAGAACATGAGTTCCCGGTGGAAAATACAGGTTTAGGAGAAATGACCCAAAGTGAATGACGTTTGACGTCATTTTTTTTTCCCATTGTCTTACCGGTACCGGGGATGTACCAGGGATCGCACTCACGACTGCGTGCTTGCAAGGCAGCTGCTTATGCAGCTGAGCTAAATCCCCAACCCCATCCCATTGTCTTTTGAGTTACGATCTCCATATGCAGTTGACCAACTCAGCAGTCCTGCCTCAGCCTCTGAATTGCTGGCACTACATTTGTGTGCCCCTATGCCCAGCTTGATATTATTCTAGTGCCACTTTTTGAAAGCGTTTTTATGCTATTTTTGAGTATGTAGGCATGTAACAAGGTAGATGAATAAGGGGTTAGCCTTTTTCTCAAGCCAGATATGTTCAATTGACCTCAGAAAACCCAGCCAGAAGTTTTTGCTTGACCTTGACTAGAAATGTGGCTGGGCCAAACCCTGCAAGCTTACACAAACGAATCTATATGTGGGACTTCCTTGAGGGAAATACTAGTTGAGAAGAGGACTGAGCTGCATGCATCACCAACGAACGACAGGTTTTCTACTGCCACTACATAAATAAGATAGAGGTCCTGAAAGGCCTTGGTATTTGACATTGCTACAGTGGGACAGGAGACACATGTTGATTGTACTTAAAACTTATGTGACAGCATACCAGGAACCCTTTAAGGGAGCTCACAAGAGTTACCTGCTGGCATATATGATGACTTGAACTTTTTTCCCCAACAGATCGACCATGTTGATCTCATTTCTTTAAGCCAGTTTTTGTCTGATATGCCAGCTTGAGCAGTAACTGTCTAGTTGGCCCCATCTAGCTTGCTGGTGAACATTCATTTTCCTGTGTTTTCACCTCAGGTTTGCTAAGGCATAAACCAGCCTTTGAATGGAGCAGGATGAATTCTGAGCATGGGAAAGGATTGGTAAGTTGTGTTCACATGTCTCTCTCAGACCCAGGACCTCCGCAGGGAGAGGCAGCTGTCTTCTCATGCCCAATACTTGATTCAAATTCTGCCGATGCAACTGATGACATAACTTTTTTCCCCATCAGATCGACCCTGTTGATCTACATAACCATCAGCCAGTTTGGTCTGATGCATGGGCCCCAAGTTCACTTGTTCTTGCCCCCTCTCACATTGAGATTATTCATTTTGGCCCCATCTATTAACTTCACAGGTCTCAAGCTCTTAAGGCTGCAGTTTGTTGTCAGCTTGATCTTTGGGGTGGTTCTCTGTCCTGTAAGAGGTAAGGTTTCAGTTCTCAAACTCATTTGCCTATAAAGACCCAGATCAAAGTTGGGTTTGAAACAGGGGAGTTACTATTTATTACTATTATGAGGCTGTTCACCCTTGTAACTATAGCTCAGACTGTATCTTCGTTGTGCGTAGAAGTTAGGTTTTTAAATTTTGAGTATCAACATAAATTCATCTACACTTTTTAAAGACAAGCATGTGATCCTCTGTTTATCTTCTTTGCCATGTTCTATTTGCAAAAGATTATTTCTAGATGGAGGTTAGCTTTTTTTTTTTGCTGCATGCGTCAGTCTTATAAGTGTCTGAGGTATGCAAGAGACATTTCGTCTCTGGAATTCTCCCAGCTTCTTGCTGGTATATCAGCGTAGTGCAGTGATGGTGAACATTTTGGACACTAAACTACAACCCAAAGCCACTTACATAAAACAAACTCACATTAATGTTTTTTAATTTTGGCCACCATTGACCTCTAGTGGGTGGAGCAAAATGTGGAGTAGCCCACATTTTCACTAGATACTCCTGTTCCTGTATCCTCAATAGATGCTTTTTCAGACCACTGATGTAATCTTTGTTTTCTATTTAGAAGTCTCCTGAGCTGTGGATGCAGTGGGAGTACAAGGCCTCTTGAATATCAGTGGTGTTCCTGAGCCACAAGGCTTTTGAGTATTTGGCTTTCCAGAGTGCTGTGCCTGTTTCTTTGAAGATTCAAAGAATTTCTAATTTTGTAACAACTTGCCTACTTTGGAAAAATAAAATTCTTGAAATCAGTGCACTTGTATTGGATTGACTATTGGTATTAAACATTGAGCAGATAATAAGTAACAGCCAAGTATGTCATTAAGTTTGATTTGAGTTAAGACATTGGGCCTAGATTTATGGGAGTGGGAGAATCTGTTGGGTGAGGGCAGTTTTCTGGACTGTGCTAGTGATTAGGTTCTGTATTAAAAGTCCTAAGAATTAGGAACAGGACCTCTAATAGTTACCAATAGATGGTTTGCAATTGCAAAACCCTGGCTTAATTAGAATTTGATCTTTGAGAAAGATGAATTTGATACGTAAAATGTCTCTTGGTATTTATTCCCTTATCCCTTCCTCTTGGGGTTTAGAAATTAATAAGGTTCTGATAAACTGATTGGCTCACTGAAGAGGCAAGTCAAGCTATTTTATCTGCATCGACCCTTCTAGATTATTTTTTAACTTTTTTTTTTTTAATTTATTTTTTTTGTCTTTTTCGTTTTTATCGGTACCAGGGATCGAACTCACGACTGCCTGCTTGCAAGGCAGGCGCTTATGCCGCTGAGCTAAATCCCCAGCCCCTAGATTATTAAATACTTGGAGGCCTAATACAATGTAAATTGTATTAATTTACTAATGAGGGGACTAATGAGAAGAGGAAGTGAGATAGACTGGCTTGTAACTGTGGTAAGACACTTCCCCTGTTAAAAGCATGCCACTGTAGTATCTTTTGCCAGGACTACAAACAGCCCCCAAAGTACAAAACATCTTTATGTTGTCAGATGCAATTCAGAATATCCTTGCTGAGCGTGCTAACGTGTGATCCAAGCCCTGGGAGGCCGAGGCAGCAGTTTACCACAAAGATTCTGTTTCTCATGAATCTGGCTGGCTCAAGTTGGTAGTCACAGAGTACCCCTAGTAGGCAGGTCAGGTGCTTTTCAGTTGAGTTAATGGGTCTGCAGTCTGCACACTCAAGTCCCTTCCCTTCTGTGGTGCTGTGGTAGGACAGAAGATGTGCTAGGTAAGTGTACTATTACTGAGGTGCTTTCTAGTTTCTAATGTAACTTTGTAGTAAAAACACAAGGGTTAAATGTTTGGCATTTGGTGGGAGGGTACTGGGAATCAAAACTCAGGACTTTGTGCTCACCAGGCAGGTGTTTATGCCACTGAGCTATATCCTGGGCAGTGTCTAAAGGACCTTCGTTGCATGTTCTTTGATATAATATACTATTTTTTTTCCTATTCCAATAACCCTGTAGCAGTAGTATTAGGTTCATATTTGAGTTGAAGGAACAGACAGTAAAAAGCAAAATAACGGGGCTGGAGGTTTAGCTCAGCAGCATAAGTGCCTGCCTTGCAAGCAGACAGTCATGAGTTTGATCCCCAGTACCAATAAAAAGGTTGAGGTCACACAGCGTGGAAATCATATTCTTGAGTTGGAATCCTGGCTCTGCCACTTGTCAGCCATCTGACTTTGTAATTCATGGCTGTCTGGGTCTCATTTCTTTATCCGAAAAGTAGGGTTTGGTGAGACTCACTTCACAAATGAGGCTCAGAACATTTGAAAGGTTCGCCTTTGTTGCAGCATATGTTAGAACTTCAGGAGGCTGAATATTATCTTGTGTGTATGTACCATATTTTGTTTATCCTTTTTTTTGGAACCAGGGCTCGAACTCATGACCTTGTGTATGTCAGGCAGATGCTGTGCCACTGAGCTATATCCTTGGCCCAGTTTACCCATCTGTTGGTGGACATTCAGTTATTCAGTTGGTTCCACCATTTGGCTGTTATCAGTAATGCTGCAGTGAATATTGTCATTACCATGTCACTGCATTGCAAGGCTCTGAGTCCCTGTTTTCAATACTTTGGGTACTATAATGTACCACCTTATGGAGACAGTTTAACAACTAAATGATGAAAAGGAACACCAGCAAACAAATCCAAAAGACAAAAAACAAAATAACTTGCCTAAGGTTCAGAGCCAGAATGTGGTAGAGCAGAGCCAGCTCTCTGACCCTTAGTGTAATTGCAATATACTGCTTAAATGACCTCTAATGGGCACAGGAAGTCAGTTCCTAGCTTTTCAAAGTTTTTTTAATCTTTGTGTGTGCATATGTACTGGGGCTCGAACCCAGGATCTTCACACTGAGCAACATCTCCAGTCCCTTATCTATTTTGAAATGGTCTTGCTAAATTGTTAAATGTTACCCAAGCCAGGTTCAAACTTGGGACCCTGCCTCAGTTTCCCAGAGTTCTGGGTTTACAAGTGAGTAGCCACATACCTAGCTGGGATATAAACTTTGCTGGACTTACAGCAGAGGTGACCCATACTTGCCAGCCAGGAGCAGCAGAAACCCTGTTGGAGAGCTCCCAGCCACCACAGTTCCCCTGACCGCCAAGTTGGTTTCCTTGAGCTCTGAGGATGAGGCCCAGATCTCATACCCTTTGCATGCTGTCTCCTCTGGATGCTGTGGGCCCATTCTCTTAGCTGAGGGATCTTGGGCAAATTCCTGCACCTCCCTAGCCTGGGTTTCCTTGCTGTCAAACGGTTCATAATGATGCCTACATTGGTGTGAGATTCAATAAAATCAAGTCTGAAGTGCTTAGCCTAGGACCAGGTGTGTAGTAGGGACACAACTCATCTAGCTAAACACAGCTTCCCACCACAGTCAGATGGGGAAGTCTGTTGAAACAGAAAAAGGGTAACTACTCATTGAGTGCCATGTGCTGATACTCTGTTATACTGTTACCACAATGAATGCACCCTCAACTTTTATCAAGGTTTCAGGGGTGGGGGGCTCAGGGGGGACACTGTGCCACTGAGTGACATCCCACCCCTTTTAAAATTTTAAAATTCTGAGTAAAGTTGCCCAAGTTGAGCTAGAACTTGCAACCTTCTTGCATCAGCTTCCTAGAGTGCTGAGATTACAGGTGTGTGCCACTATCCTAAGCTAAGCTGTGTGACCAGTGACCTACTTCCTCCAGCTGGGCTCTTACCTTCTGAGTTTCCAGTGTCTTCCAATAATGCTGTCCAGCTACGACCTCATCTGTGCACTAATCCACTCAGGAAGGGAGAGCCCGCGATCCAACCACTTTCCAAAAGGTCCATCTTTTAACAGTTGCATTGGAGACTGAGCCTCTAATACTGTACTTGAGCCTTACGGGGGACATTTTAGATCCAAACCCTAACTCTGTTAATTATCGTTAAAGTTTATACTGCTGCTCAGGGAAGTCTAGGCACTTTGTTGAGGTCACACAGCGTGGAAATAATATTCTTGAGTTGGAATCCTGGCTCTGCCACTTGTCAGCCGTCTGACTTTGTAATTCATGGCTGTCTGGGTCTCATTTCTTTATCTGAAAAGTAGGGTTTGGTGAGACTCACTTCACAAATGAGGCTCAGGACATTTGAACCTGTGTTGCAGCATATGTTAGAACTTCAGGAGGCTGAATATTATCTTGTGTGTATGTACCATATTTTGTTTATCCTTTTTTTTGGAACCAGGGCTTGAACTCATGACCTTGTGTATGTCAGGCAGATGCTGTGCCACTGAGCTATATCCTTGGCCCAGTTTACCCATCTGTTGGTGGACATTCAGTTATTCAGTTGGTTCCACCATTTGGCTGTTATCAGTAATGCTGCAGTGAATATTGTCATTACCATTCACTGCATTGCAAGGCTCTGTTTGAGTCCCTGTTTTCAATACTTTTGGGTACTATAATGTACCACCTTAAGGGGACAGTTTAAGAACTAAATGATGAAAAGGAACACCAGCAAACAAATCCAGTCTGGGAACCAGGGCTGTGCTTGGGCTGCTGCTGGACTGGGAAAAGCCAGACCTGAGCCCCTTCCAGCACCTCAGAAGTACCAAACGCCTTCCCTGTCCATAAGCGACCGGCTTATCCAGAGAAACGCAGGCTGTGATGATAGCCATCGAGGTGAGATGCGTTGGATGCCTATGGTGCTTTGGTGTTTCACTGACATTGCAGGTCTGGGGCCAGTGGTCTGACCATAGGTTCAGAGGACATCTAAGAGGGATCTCCTGAGGGCTGCAGCCATTGTTGATTCCCTATGGTCTTGTTTTGAAGTCCTGTATTGTTTCCATTGTTTTTTTTTGGGTTGGGTTTTTGTTTCTGTTATTTTGTGTATGTTAAATCTGATGGCAGGAGCAGCTATATAAAGACAGCATGACATATTATGGTAGCCATTTTGGATTCACTCTTGGCTTGTTTTGAAGTCCTTTAACTGCATTCATTGTTTTGTGTTTATTGTTCCTGTTCTGTTCTGTTTGACTTTTACTGTGTCTGAAGTTACCTGCAGCTATTTTAAAGACATTATGGTAACTATTATTGATTTCACAATGTTTTGAAGTCCTGTGTCTCTTACACTGGTTTGTTTTGGTTGGTTTTATTCTGTTTTATCTTCTTTAAAATAAAAATTTGAAGAAGCGAGCTAAATGAACCCTTAGAACTCTGCCTGGAAAACTGTTCCAATGTTTGCTATTTTCAGTTTCTTTCAACCTTTTTCTCCTACATTTGCCTGCTTGTCTCCTAGTTGTGTGCCAGGAAAGATGGAGCAGGGTCTCTTCCCAAGCCTGCAGCTCCAGCCTCTGTCTGCAGGGAGCACTGTGGATACACATTTCTCCAGCATGTGACAAGAAGCTGTCGTTCTGGCCCTGAAAAGGGGGGAATCCCTTCTTGCAAGCACCGGTAGACAGATAAGTTTTCACTCTGCAGCCAGGATGGATCGCAACAGTGAAGCCTAGGGTGGGGTGGTGAGCAGTGGGATAAGAGTGAGAGTGTCTCAGGGCCTGAGGCATGGGCTGCTGACTGAGCAAACTCTAGACTCCCCATGCAGCCAACAAGTTTCAAATAAATTTACCCACAGTACCTCTGTCCTAACAAATCAGTACCCAGTATTCACCCAGTTTTCTTTTGTCCCATTATGTTCTTATTACAGGGAAGCTACTGCCAGCACGGCTAAAGCTTCTCACATGTGAAGGAAGCCAGGAATCCCCAAAATGTTGCCCACTGA